CTTATGTGATTAATTAAGATACTAGGGTTGGGTATACATTATGGCACACTTTTTTCACTTTTTTCATTTAATACATTGTGAACTTTCATGATACCATAACTGAATAGCGACTGAGAGAGAGACTCAGCGTTTCAGTGAGAGAGCGTTGTAATCTGTGGTGTCAGTGTTAATCTCACTCATGCGGTTCTCTTCACTTTTGCCCATTTCCATAGAAGGGGCTCAGACGGCACTGAGAAACACCGCTTGCCAGTTTATGCTAATTTAGATTTCCTGCTTCTTCATTAATTGAACTGTAGGAAATGATATGAAGGATCGATATAAGAACCTCAAGGATAATGCAATACTGCAAGAAAATGAATCGCGACATATCGATATACGATCGTATTTGCAGAATCTTAGTTTTGCCTTGACTGATTGGCCATTTTCTTCAAGGCATAGACTGGTCATCCTGAGAGCCCCCTAATTAACAGAATTACTTCCCACCTCTGGTTCTGCGTTAGTCACTCGTGACGACGTGTGGCTGGTAGCAGCACGTCCTTCCCACCATATTGTTGGCCGGCGGCTAATAAGGTAGCACTGACCGGCGGACGGGCTCATTAGCATCGCCTGCGGCCGTGGCAACCCCCGCCAGGGCCCAGTCGGACACTTAATTACCGCCACCACTTTTTATCTCCCCTCCAAAACCCAGCCCCCCACCCCTGGAACGCCACCGGCACTTGCTTCTGCAATCCACAGAGAATGCTGGGAAACTATAGATGCCAAAGTGGTGGTTAGTTAGCCTGTAACATTCGATAGCAGCGCTCGCTGTGAGGCACTGCGATATCTCTGATAGAGTTAAAGCTATTCGACCCGAGCCTCTCATGCGAGACTGCGCGAGTGTGTCTTTTCATTGGCATCAGTGGAATATTGATGGCTCCACCCCGGCTTAATCGGCTAATGGCCTCTCCCTCTCTCCTTCACTCTGCTGAAGCAGCCACCCTCCCACCCAGCACAGCCTTTCTGTGCCCTTTCGGCGACCTCTGGGTCAGGCAGGCCGATTTTTATGCCCGACTGAGTCGCAGAATAGCCTCAGTGTATTGGTAGGCAACTTTACGCAAGTCATGTGGCTGCCGGCCCTAATAGAGAACGCTCCCAGCCTCCTCCTCGGCCTTTTGGCTTATTGCATCTCACAGCTGAGATGTTGTGGGATTAACTGTATAGCTGCCAACGGCTGTTGTTCAAATGAATCAAGAGAAAGGCTACAATTACACTGGATCCATGTACTGTGGCTAAGAACAAAACAGAATTAACAAGGTCCTTAATATTTTTTCCAAGTCTAATTGTAATACAGAGAACAGATATTCTGAAAATACTTTGCAGCACAGCAATATGGTAAAAATACTAATTTATACATATACGGAATGGTTCACTCAAGAATGAACATATGGTCATTGTTTATTCACACTCATTTAGTTCCAAACATGTATGATTTTTTAGTGGAAAACAAAAGTAGAAATTCTGACTATTGTGTTGGTGTCTTTCATATGGCTGATGGACATTTTATTTATAATTTTTGGTGGATGAAGTACTCTACCGTTCAAATGTTTTTGAAAGCTGAATTTTCAGCAGCCATTACTCCAATCTTCTAATATGCTGTTTTGCAGCTCAAGAAACATTTCTTATTATTATCGAAAACAGTTGTGCTGCTTAATATTTTTGTGGAAAGCATACTGTATATATTTTTGGGATTTTTTGATAAACAGAAAGTTCAAAAGAACAGCATTTATTTGAAGTAGAAATAATTTTCACAACAGTGTAGAAGTCTTAAAAGTGTATGTCTTAAAAATGTAAATACATCTTTGCTGAAATAAAAAAAGAAATAAAAAAAAAATCACTTTATGGTAGTGTATGTCTGGACTGTATTCTACACACATGCATACTTATTAGGGATGCACCGATACCACTTTTTCCAGTACTCGCCCGATCTTATACAACAATAGTCAAGAAGTTCTTCATCCAGTTCATTATATTCTCTGTGCACAAATTGGACTTTACTGAACAAATACACATTGTGTGTCAACTAGATGGAGCACATCAGAGAAATAAGCACAATAGTTTTAAATATGCATTTTCATAAAATACTTGTTGGATGTCAAATGCATGCAAAAAATTGTAGTGGAATTATGAATAAGTATCCCTTACATTTACAGAATAAATGACTATGTCCAAAAGAGGGAATTTGAATGGATTCCTTCCTACAGAATATTCCTGTTAACACTATTAACAGATTTTTCTTTTTTATTTATTTTTTTGTGTCATCTACAAACTAAACATCCAAAACTAAACTAAACATGGTGAACAAACTGTTTTTATTTCTTCCTTTTTTTATAATGTGACAAAACTATATGCAGATTACAGTGTAGCATGTATATCTTAACTTAGATATCTTATCTAATTTTTTTTAAATTCTAATTTAAATTCTAGAGAGCACAGTCATTAATTTTATTTATTTATTTATTTTTTTAACTAAATTGGCTATGAGACATATGACTGTCTGGTAAGATAAAAAGTTAATTCCAGAGCCTGAATGTTACATTCTTCTTTTTTATGTTTAGTTGAGGTTATGATTTGCATTTAGCACTTGTGGTTGTAGGGTTCTAGGGTCATGTCCGCAGCAGCACACAATCATAAGCGCAGTTTAGCCTCAAGAGAGACGAGCACCAAGTCTCAGTGAGAGTGACTGATAACAGATCTGGACCACAGTGCCTCCCGCAGCTGTTTTTCTGGCCACACAAAGTCATGCTCACCATTATGCCATTAAACGAACCTCTCAAAGGCAGACGGCCAGTATCTTGTCCCTCGTCCCAAACTGTCAAGCTTGTTGCTATGCGATAGGATTGTTCCGTTGCAGCTAACTACCAGGGTTTTGTTCCCATTTTTCGAGCCACATACGAGCGCGTATGTGCGTGTGTGCGTTTTAGAGGCAGGGGGTTGTTTCAGACAAAGCCATGCGGAACTGGGGCCCAAACCATGACCTTGGGAAATGTCAGGCCCCCCACGGAGTGGCTTGCCTGTGTCTGCCTCTCCGGTGCAGCTAGGAACAAGAGTGGCGGGGCGTAGCACAACCTAGCCTAACCTAGCGTGGCGAGAGCAGGGTTCAGTCCGAGTTTCTGCCACTGCCTCAGAGACCTTTGGTCAGCAATGTAGCCATTTCTCACTAACAACATTATGGCCATTACTGCCCGTTCTCCCTGGTGTCACATGAAAATGGGTCATGCCTCACATACTTCACTGTTTTGCTCAGGTGACCGAGAGCTCGGTCAGTGAAACGCCCTGGCGATGTGCATCAAACTCTCGAACCTTTGACGACGAGGTACGGGAAGTCAGGAGGATGCTTCCACTGGGGATGTAACGATTACCGATTTGATGATAAATCATAATAAAATTCCCCATGGTTATTATTACCGCTTTATATTTTAAGTATCATTAAAAGCATACTCGATTACCGCAATTTGAACAACTCAGGATAAATAAATACTATCCAGCATAGAGCACAGTTTAACAGTAAATGAACAGTCTCACGTGCGCACAGCATGCAGACTAGTTTCGTTTTATGTGAAAACATGGCGGAATGCTGGGAGGTTTTAAAAGAGTGCTAAGGGAATTATACAAATGAATATATGAACGAATTAATTATATGAATGTACCTCTGAAGGTTCTGACTGTCTTCAGAAAAGATTTGATGGCATTTTGTTTTCATCTTCACTCCATGTAATAACTAAAGTAGTTTTCTTTATCGCAATACTACTTCGTCTACGCAGGTTACGGGAAACAGCTCTAATTCTGCTGTGTCGGGTTTATATCTTATTTTCTTTGATTTTTTGAGTTACGAAGCATGCTCTGCTGCATTGTCAGTATCATGGTGCATGGTCGCACAGGGTCGTGGCAGTTGCCACCCCTTTGGACCAAAGTAAGCAGTGCTGGCCAGATGTGTGTTGACTGTAATGATCCCTACGGGTCGACGAGATACTGTTGCCAGGCAACAGCTTTTCCTTTTCCCTGTAAACAGAGAGCTTACTCGCCAGGCTTATGTTGGGGTCGGCAAGGTGAGACCAGCCTTTATGTGTGCGAGCAAAAGGCGAAGAAAAGATGCTCAAATAAATTTTTTTACATGTCATACCGATGTCACAATTCCCCGGCCTTTTTTTTCTTGCTGTCTCCAGGTCTTGTTCTCTCGCACTTTCACCGAGGTGTGAGGATTTAATTTGGTCAAGTGAATGGACACAAAAAAACCCTCACTTGATAAGTTTTGACATCCTCCCTCATCTACGCTTGTTGCTTCCTGACATGCTCTTGTGGAAGGATTGTTAATATGTATCAGGAATATTCACATTCTTTGTTCTCCCCTTGTCTGGCAAGCTGTAATGTTTTGCTTATGAATATTGATACATGAAGTGTATATTAATGACCCTTGGTGACCTTAACCCTATCCTTATTGGCTCCCTTGTAGTATCGGCAAGCCCATGAATATTAATACGGTTCTGTAACCTCCATTACCCTAATCTTTGCTGTCTAGCCTCCCGGAAGGGTCTGTCACCATGGTAACCCTTTTACTACACTCTTTTAGACTTTTGGAAAAAAAGCACGTTTGAAAAAAGAATAGAAAGCAAGTTATTCCACTGTGCCTTGTGAGGGATGCGTCAGATACTCACCAAGACAACTCTCGGTTGTTTTATATTGCTCATCTTTTCAGAAACCATCAATTTTATTCCCAAAAAGAAAAGTCACTTGGAAAAGGTCAATCAATGGCTATAAGGACAATACTGTGAGCATTTTTTCCTAACAGATTTTTTCCTCCAGAATTTAATAATAATCATGCCATTACATATATTTTTTCAATAAGATGCTTGCTTTCTAGAATACAACAAATGATAATGAAATATTGTCAATTGTCTTGCTGGAAAAGCATTTTAATAATAAAATCATGACACATAAATCATGTTTTTTTCTCCGTTTCACAGATGTGGACACGGTAGATGATGGAGGGCCAGAGGGTTGCTCAGTAGAAGAGGACAGCTGGTTTGGGAATACCTCCGACAGCCCCTCTGAATCGTCCTACGGTGATGTGCAAGATGAGCTGCGGGTTTCCCCGGACAATGTTCCCCGACTGGACAACGACACTTCAGCTGAGAGCTCCCTGGGCTGCCAGACGCCAGTTCAGCGGGCTTCCCTGGAGCTGCTGGGGCTGGACAGTGGGGTCCTCTCGACCCAGGACATGCTGTCCTCTGAGGTGTCCTCTCTGTACGGAGACTCCAGCCAGGCCCTGGGCAAACCCCTCAGCAGCAACCTGCGGCGTCTCCTGGAGGCTGGCTCGCTGAAGCTGGAGGGAGGGGACCTGACCAGGCGTGGAACAGGCAGAGGACCAGAGTCGCCCCCGGTCAGCTTGGTACTATCTCCGTCTTCGCATCACGCACAGCAGCTGAGTGCCCTGGCGAGGAGGTTGGCTAATAGCAGCAGCAACAACAGTGGCAACTCGAACTCTGCATCACCTGCATCTGTAGCAACTGTCAAGCAGGAGCCCTGTGACCCATATGGCCCCAGCAATGGCCCTAACTCAGGCAGCAGTGGCTTCGTATGGGTAGGCGTTGCGGATAAATGGCCATCGACAAGTTGCTCGGCTCCCAGCGGCAGCAGCCTATCACCAGACTCGGCTATCCAGAAGTTAAAGGCAGCCGCCAACGCCGTGCTCCAAGACAAGTGTGCGGTGGCCTCCTCCACCTCGGCGTCTTCATCCTCCTCTTCCTCCTCATCATCCTCGTCAGTCACCTCCTCCTCAATGGCAGCCCTGGGCACTCGCTCTGATGACGCGGTGCGCTTTGAACCGTTCGCTTCACCCTTCAGTCCGCAGTCAGCCAGCTCCACGCTTGCTGCCCTCTCAAAGAAAGTGTCTGAAAGAAGTCAGCAGCAGGTGGGCTCATCTGAGCATCAACCCTCAGCTGGCTCCTTTCTCTCTCTGGTTTCCATGACCTCCTCAGCAGCTCTGCTAAAGGAGGTGGCCGCACGAGCAGCAGGGAACCTTCTAGCTGATAAGAAAGAGCCATCATTAGTACTGGGAGCCTCCGAAGATGTCAAGCCCCTGTTAGACAGGAACCAGAAGGTGCCCACCCCAACCCAGGCCATGGATCTTCTGCTGCCAACAATCCCCAAGGGAAGGGCCAAGCCCAGCAGTCAAGCAGGTAACGGTTTGTTCCCTAAAATAAATGCATGCCTTTTTTCGTTTTTGTGCTTTTGAGGGGAAATTGCCAGCTGGTTTACATTTGTAGGATTAAACACTAAAACAAAAATGAATTTTTTTTCCAAAATATTGTATTCAAATATTTGGGCTCATAAAAAATGTATAGTCGTTTATTTAAATGACGTTTAACGAAAAGGACAATTTTTTCATAATCAAGTTATCACCATTTCTGAACAAGCTTATGATTAGGCATTATACACAACAATGTTCTACAACGTTACATATATCTCAAGGTTTTCTTTTAGTTAAATAACATGTGTAAACAGTACAAGTACCAATTACAGTACAGAACATACATACACGAGTCGGCCTATGGTTATCGTGTTTATATTGTTTCACATGTTAATGTTGAGAAAAACAAGAATATACACTTGCTCGGGTGAAAGTTGGCTCCTCAGGCCCTGTTTACACTAGTGCGTTTTTGTTTTAAAATGGCGTTTTAAAATGAAAACGATCCTCGTCTACACTGGCGTTTTCACTGCATTTCAGAAACGATCTCTGTCCACACTACACGACATATATGCGCATAAAAGTGTAAACAGGAAGTTGGTTGCTAGTCACTGGCAGGTACATGAACATGATGTTATTGTTTACACAGTCGTCAAGGATATGCAGAGCGTATTGGGGCAGCCACGCCATCAATTTTCAAAAGTCTCGGTTTTGGTCCGTTTACACTGAAACGCAACCCCAGAGTTTTCCAACTAAAAAGGGGTCTGCAGCATCTTTGAAAGTCTCAGTTTTTGAGAGTTGAAAACCCCAGAGTAGTGTAAACCACATGTGTCTTGGTTTTCAGCTTTCTCTTTCTGCAAATTGTATAGTTGTATGGTGTATGGCGATATGACCCAGCACACAAAATTCTATCAAAACACTCCAACGCAGCCTCCATTCTTGGCGAAAGATGGATAAAAAGGCGCACAAAAAAAACAAAAACCTTGAAAAAATGATGTACGACCCTGTCAAGAAAGGGATGGAGGACTCAAATGCAGTTCAACCAAAAATAGACTTTATTCCGAACACCAAGCCAGCAAAGGCGTGAAACACCACGGTTAGGGGAATGCAGTGGTGTGGCGCTCCCTGCGCCGACGCATTCACCGAGACAGGGGGCTGAGAGGAATACCGGAAAACGTCCAGAATCGTACTCCCAATCCGGCCTCACTGTCCACAGTCGCGATACTAATTCCTCGCCTGAGGATCCTGGAAACAGTGCAGAGAGTGTAGAGGAGAGTGAAAACTCAAAAGCGCGCCCATACGGCACATAAAGACATAAGACATACCCACGCCGAAAAAAAGACAAAGACAGGAATATATAGGAAGTGGGAATGAGTACCAGGTGCGGGCTAATAGAGCGCGCCGCCCCGCGAGTGCGCGCTGATTGCTCCACCATGCGTGTCTGAAACTGACAGGACCAAAACAACCACCACGTGCAAATGACAACGACAGCGCACAGGTGAGAGGCAGAAAGGAGTCGGAGAAGGTACCGGTACTGACACGACCCCACCAAATCGTGGCCAAATCAAAGAGATGGCGATTCGCACGGGACAAATATTATCACAGGACCTCGGTGTTCAGTGAAATATGGTAGGTCATTTGCGGGGGAATTTTTACTTTACAAATTACAGACATGGCCGATTCGCACGGGATTAAGATCACAGACAACCTCCGCAATTATTACAAATAACTAGATGTCACCAGGTAATACTAATTCTGTTCAAATAGGGCTTAAGTTTCGCTGATCATGTTGATCAAAGTAATTCCAAACTTTGCGAGTCAGACGACATTCTGTGATTAAATACAATCAACTTGTTAATGCGCTCCACAGCGCCACCATAACATTTAGTTATAACTGACTATTAGTTTACACGCTTAGGATTTATCATTCCCTGCATTTACGGCCAGCAAAGCAACACAGAAAAATTTGAATAGTGTTTTTATTTTTTCAAATAATAATTACAGATCAAATATTTGAACATTTGACTATTTGTGCACACCAATAGAAATCACACAAGCAAAATTCAAATTCTGTGATTATTGTGCCAAAAAATAGATGTATATATGACCATCTTTTATGCCATCCTGCAGCCAGGCTCACCTGATAAGACATACTTGAATCCATTAAATGCAGACCTCACTGCAGACCAGTTTCTTGCATCTACATGTGCAGTAATGGAAGCTCCGGGAAGGTGTCAGAAACACACAGTTGCACAGTGCTTTGTGTCCCAGAATAACCAGGGAAACTGGGTATTTCAACTTTTCCACCAAGCACCACATACTTTTAGAGAGTGAATTTGGACACTATAAGTTTTGGGACACCTAACAGTTTCACCAAAAGGGACTTAAATTAAATTAAATTAAATTAAGTGACATGACTTGTGGCCAACCCATACTAGGAATTAGTGCTCTGCATTTAACCCATCCTAAGTGCACACACACACAGCAGTGAACACACACACACACCGTGAACACACACCCGGAGCAGTGGGCAGCCATTTTTTTTTATGCTGCGGCGCCCGGGGAGCAGTTGGGGGTTCAGTGCCTTGCTCAAGGGCGCCTCAGTCGTGGTATTGAAGGTGGGAGAGAGCGCTGTACATTCACTCCCCCCACCTACAATTCCTGCCGGACCAGAGACTCGAACTCGCAACCTTTGGGCCACGACTTCCCCCTAATGACATAGAATTCAAAATGCATAGACATTGATATGGAGTTGGTCCCCCACTTTGCAGCTATAACAGCTTCCACTATTCTGGGAATGCTTTCCACAAGATTTTGGAGTGTTTCTGCAGGAAATTTTGCCCATTCATCCAGTAGAGCATTTGTGAGGTCAGGAATTGATGTTGGACCAAAGGTCCTGGCTCGCCTACTCCACCAGTTTATCCCAAAGCAATGTTTAATGGGGTTGAGGTCAGGGCTTTGTGCGGGCCACTCAAGTTCTTCCACACCAAACTCATACAGCCAAATCTTTATGGACCTTGCTTTGTGCACTGGGGCATACTGTAATAGAAAAGAGCCTACCCCAAACTGTCCCACAAAGTTGGAAGCATAGCATTGTCCAAAATGTTTTAGTATGCTGATGCATTAAGACTTCCCTTCACTTTAAGTAAGGGGAACCCCTGAAAAACAGCCCCATACCATTATCCCCGCTCCACCAAACTTTACAGTTGGCACAATGTAGACAGGCAGGTAACGTTCACCTGGCATCTGCCAAACTGCCATACTCATCTATCAGACTGCCAAACAGAGAAGTGTGATTCGTCACTCCACAAAACATGTTTCCACTGCTCCAGAGTCCAGTGGTTGGCTGCTTTACACCCCTCCATCCGCTGTCATTGTACTTGGTGATGTGAGGTTTGCATGCATCTGCTCAGCCATGTTCTTAAATGCTTTCACTTTCCAATAATACCACTTACAGTTGACTGTGGAATATGTGACCCTGGACCACAAAACCAGTCATAAGGGTCAAGTTTTCGAAATTGAGATTTATAAATCACATGAAAGCAGAATAAATAAGCTTTCCATTGATGTATGGTTTGTTAGGATAGGACAATATTTGGCCGAGATACAACTATTTGAAAAAATGGAATCTGAGGGTGCAAAAAAATCTAAATACTGAGAAAACCGCCTTGTCCAAATGCAGTTCATAGCAATGCATATTACTAATCAAAAATAAAGTTTTGATATATTTACGGTAGGAAATTTACAAAATATCTTCATGGAACATGATCTTTAATTAATATCCTAATGATTTTTGGCATAAAAGAAAAATCGATAATTTTGACCCATGTAATGTATTTTTGGCTATTCCTACAAATATACCCCAGCGACTTAGACTGGTTTTGTGGTCCAGGGTCACATATCTAGTAGGGATGAAATTTCACGAACTGACTTTCATTGCAAAGGTATAAATATATTTAGATTTATGTTTAATTTACCGTATTGTCCCGAATATAAGACGATGTTTTTTTCTTGGAAATACATCTGAAAAAACGCGGTCGTCTTATATTCAGGGTCTAGACTTTGACATGTGGGTCGTCTTATATTCGGGCCAATACGGTACATCAAATGTTAACTATTGCTACAGATTAATAAAGATAAAAGAAAATGCTATAAAAAATAAATAAAGTAGTAAATAAATTTAAAATGTCATACTAGACAATTTTGAATCAGATTGTCATTAACCTCCCGTCTTGTTTTTTTTTTTTTTTTACATTAGAATGATTTCTGAACTGTAAATATTTTTTAAGGTAACAGTGCCTAAATGTTTGATTATTACACCACTGAAGAATGCACTGTGTAGTGATTTAGTAGTGCCATAAGGTCATGCTTCGTCTGCAAGAGGTTGGCTGGTGAATCTGGGAAAGGTCTGTTAGCACAGTGGGGGTTTGCTGGAGTTGGCGGCACGTTCCCAGACCCAGCTCATCTCCCGCGGATGTGCAGCCTGCCAAACGGAGGCCGGCAGTGTGTGTGCTCCCCATAGCCCGAACAGTCAGAGACCATCTCAGCAGATTCCCCCGGAATTTAGGTCAGGCTCCAGAGCCGGCACAACCATCAGAGTTTCCATTCAGCACAGGCCTGGGTTGAGCGCCTGAGATATGGCTGATCTTTTGCTAATTCTCAAACTTCTGTGGCTTGGAATCAGGATTGACCCAAAGGAGCTGCAGACACAGAGAATAATGTCACAGAGAGATACATATGTTGTAAGCAGCTATAATATGACAGATTCTGAAGTGTAAAGTTTAAATACTAAATAAGAACACCTCCATTAAAATCGTAATTGAGTTTCACCTGGCTCGTTTTTGTGAATGTGAGATCTATAAGACGGTCACGCGAAGAGTATTTGTCTGGTAATGAAACAATACCGACTGGACATTAAAATTTGAGAAACCAGCTAACGGCTCTCATTCCTTTCCCTTGATACCAAAGTCCTTCAGTCTTTTTACCTCACGAGCAGTTTCCACAGTGATCTCGCCGGGAGAGGTTGAGCCACAGATGGTGGTTTATTGTTGCAAATAGGCAGTCTCGAAGTTTTACACCCCGGGTCAATGAATGCCTGAGCGAGGTAATTTCACCAAACACTGATTACCAGATGTTTTTCGAGGAACACGACTGGAATACTTATGAAGCCATCCTGACAGGCCCTCGTAGAATTCGTAATGCAATCATGCCAGCTTCTAATAAGACCAATTAAGCCCTAATGGACACCGGATATGGAGCCAACAACAATAATCGGCTTACTAAAAACATCCTTGTGTTTGGCTTCCTTTGTGAGGAGTCTTTGGCATTGATCGGGATAATCATAGCTCACAATTTTTATCTCATTCACACCAATAAATGCAAGGTTGACAAGAGTGAAAGGATATTTAGCCTACATGTTATTGCATACCAAAGGGCTATCTAATAATGTGGCATCATTGTCCAACTAATGGTTTTATGTAAATACTAGACATTTTTCAAACATTATATCACTAGCAACAAATACACATAAATGATAAAAAAACAACATTTATAAAATGCAAGTATAGTAATAGATGTGTACTTTTTTAAAATTGTGGTTTTAATGTTTAGTATAAACACTGTATGCATCTATTTTATTTAATTATTTATTTTCTTTCTTTATTTATTGCAGGTTCTCCTGAGGAGGGAGGAAAGCCCTTTCAGTGTCCAGTGTGCGGTCTGGTCATCAAGAGAAAGAGCTACTGGAAGAGACATATGGTGATCCACACAGGCTTAAAAAGTCACCAGTGTCCCCTCTGTCCCTTTCGTTGTGCTCGTAAAGACAATCTCAAGTCCCACATGAAGGTGACTTCAATCCCTGAGAGAAGAAATGCTTGTGACATAAATCACATCAGATCAATTATCATAACGTCTTTAGATGCAGAATTTTTTATGATGCAAAATTATTAGGGTTGTCAATTCATATTTTAATCAAATTAAGTACATGATATACCAAATAATTTAACTAATCGCAATTAATCACATTTATAAATATTTGCAAGGAAAAGCCTCTAAATTAAGGTAATTCAAAAGTAATATATTGTGGCAGATAAAAACATTGAATAGACATTTAAAAAACTGGCTTTAGAAGTTAATACATTTTTTATTTACATATCATTGAATGTAAATCATTACAGTCCACAGCAATCGGAGACAGATGAGAGGCCATTCATGCCTTATTGCATCTTATTGCATTATTTTTTTTATAAAAAATAAATAAGAATTAAACCATTAAAATGTCATTATTTAAATAATTTAAAACATATATATAAATGTATGGTCACTTTAATTAATTAATAGAGAGGATGAGGATTCGATTTGAATATTCAGTCCCACTTTATATTAGGTGGCCTTAACTACTATGTACTTACATTTAAATTAATCATTTGATACAATGCAGTTACATGTTTTTACATTGTACCGTATTGGCCCGAATATAAGACGACCCTGATTATAAGACGACCCCCCTTTTTCCAGATGTACCTTTTGGAAAAAGGCTTTTTAAAAAACAAATCTTGTTTTTTCTCAGTAAAACACATTTTGTCTTCAATTATTATCAAATTGCATATTTTTCCTATTTTAATTTTAACAGCTTGAAAGATCAAAGACAATTTTTAATATAACTCCGACTGGATATGTCTGAAAGAAGAAAGTCATATACACCTAGGATGACTTGAGGGTGAGTAATTTATGGGCTAATTTAATTTTTGGGTGAACTAACCCTTTAATCCTACCCATGCTACCAAACTTGTCCCTAACCTTACCTGTATCCCACCTCAATAACAGGAAAAGTGTTTTGCAATACAGTAATAAGTACATAAGTACTTATTTTTTGATGTAAGAACATAGTAGTTAAGGCCACCTAATATAAAGTGGGACCTAATATTCCTCCTGCACATTTTTTGCACATTTTTTTTTTATATCTTCTCTTGTTCATCTCAGGTCCATCAGCACCAAGACCGAGGAGAGACTTTCCAGTGTGAGCTCTGCCCCTTCACATCCTCCCGCCACTTTAGCCTCAAGCTGCACATGCGTTGCCATCAGCACTTCCCCCGTCCCGACCTCAAAGTCAAGGAAGAACCCGGCACAGACACTGAGGAGGGCGAGGGCTTGCTCATGGGGGACGGTGGAGTCGCTGGTGATCAGGTCATGAACACAGATGCTTCCACGTCTCCCACTGTGAGCCAACCTGACGGTCGTTTGCTGGCCTCCCCTGCAGAACCCTCGAACCACGTCCAGATCAAGGAGGAACCCCAGGAGAGGGATGTCTCTGTGATGTCTCCCTTTGCCCTGTGTAGGGAGCGACCCAGCAGCAGCAGCAGCTCTCTGGATCTGCCTGGGTTCAAATCCAGTCCACCAGGGCTTGGACCTACAGCCGCCTCACTCTTCAGCCCAGATATCACCACCAAGACGGCTACGGACCTCCTCATGAAGCTCTCAGGTAAGAGATCTCAGTTAAACCACAATGTAAAAGGGCAATGTGATGAAATTAGATGCTTGATTATGTAAACCAGCTTGATTTATCCATAATTCCTTGCATTTAGGATGAATGAAGTGCTAATATAATTATGGGTTGGCAAAGGCAGTAGAATTCGGCTTGCTGGATGGGAACCCAAAGCCAAGATCCTGCAGGACTGTGTCTGCATGGTTAATTCTTAACCTCAGTTACCGCTCTACCATGGAGCCTGTTTATTATAGCTGTACTATACCATCTTGATACCTGATGCTGTTTTTTTTAGTTCTGCCAGTTTTTAAGAGGTTTAAAAATACATATTTAAGGCTGACATAAAAATATCGTAAGTCGGTGACTTTTGATAATTCAGTTGTAGGCCTTGTTAAAGGCATTTCACATACGTTCAGAGCCATTTTTCTTGACACAGAGGATACTTGGCTTTAGATTGTAAAGAATTAACAAACAAGTATATCCTAGATTATGCTTATTAACATGATTAATATTGATTAGTGATTTAAGATTGCTAATTAATGTTTCCAGAAATTAAAAGAAGACAATATGGTTAAACTTTACATTTAGATTTGTTAATGCCTTAGATATCTGATCTAAAAATGATCAACAATCTTTTACAGCATTTATTAATCTAGGTTAATAAACCTAGATTCATATTTTAGATTTTATTAACTAATATATTTAATTATAAATTCATGTTTATTTAAACTACCATTTAAAACATTGTCGGAACAAATAAATAAATAAATGCATTTAATGTATCAAAAATAGTAAAGACAATTCTTTTCAAATTCTTTCTTCAACTTCTTTCTATTCATCAAAGAATCTTGAAAAAAACGTAACACGGTTTTCACAAAAATATTAAGCAGAACGACTGTTTTCACCATTGATAAAAATAAGAAATGTTTCTTGAGAAGCAAATCAGTATATTAGAATGATATCTGAGGGCTCATGTGACACTAAAGACTGAAGTAATTGCTGCTGAAAATTTAGCATTATTGTTAATTTATACAATCTGAAATATATTAATATATGCAGAAATGTTTATCATTATTATTAGTATCATTAATGAATGCTGTGAAAGTATTGTTCATTGTTACCTAATGCATTAAATACTTTTAATGTATTAACCCTAATTGTAGTGTGTTACAGACAATATCATAAACAGTTAATGCTTATGCTAATATTGAGTGTATCAATTAATAATTTTATGGGGGGCAAAAGGAAATTTTGCTGTTAAAGTACAAAACTCAAAATTACACTTGTTAATGTAATCAAACTCCAAACTTTAGACCATTAAACACATGTTGTTGTAGCCGAAAGTATAAGTAATTGTGAGACAGCAGCGAGATTGATGCGAGAGGGCTGACCAAGGGTTACCTAGAAGGTCGGCAACAGGGTCGCTGCTCCCTCGCTTAATGCAGAGTAATTAGATTGAGACCTCGGAACAGAAAAAAAGGAAAACCTTCGGAACATTAGATTAATTAAAAATTCATGCATAATTCATAATTAAAAAGGAATCTGTAATTGGAAATGATTAGCGCCCTCAGCTCCATCGTGTGACCTCTTGCCTGGATGCAGAGGGACTGCTCCTTTCTTAGTTAACTTAATCTCCGTCTTGGTGGAACGTGCAGAGTCTACGCTCAGTGCACTGCCGCCCCCTTGTCGCCCATGGCACTGAGTTTCTGGACTCCCAAACAATCAGGTTTAGGTCCCAGAGGACTAGATAGACTCCTCAACAATGGGGGCTGGAGTTAATACATAGTGGACATGTCCTGCTAAACTGAGGCGTGATGTTCCAAGCAGGATCTAACCTTTCGATAGAGATGGATCAGGATAGGCCTCAGTCAACTAGTTTGTATGGATTTATTTTTTCAATTTCAGCTTTACCTTTAATAATTTGTGAAGCGGTGCTTTAACAGGGATGATCTAAGTGACACCACTTCTAATGTGCTGTGTGTGCTGAAACTGTCTCTGAGAAGTTGCGTCTCTTAAGTCATCCCCTTTAAAGCAATGCTTTACAGCTATCAGAGCAGTGCTTTTCTAACATGTTCACTGCCTTTTAATAATACATTTTAATTTGGAGACTTAAGCCCCGTTCACACTGCCAGCGACTTTTATCGCTGTATGTCGCTAGACTCTGTGCTGTGAAGACGCTTGTGGGCGTTCCTACTGTTGTAGCTCTAATGTTATTGGTAGACTGCACGTCTGGACATATCTGGACATATAAAATGCAATCACAAACTGTATATTGCCGGTAAAACTAAGATATCATTCTATTATGACTAGGAATTAGACTTAAAAGAAATAAAAGTACCATTCTGCTGTTGGAGAGTGTTGTTATATAAACTACAGCAGTGCTCGTGCATTAAATCATTAACCGGTGCTAAACTGCTCACTGCATCATGTAATTAACAACTCGAACCATCAGTGTATGAATCAAACTCACTTAGACAGCCAATGGTTTCTTTTCTATGCATCATTTTTTATATCCATGTATGTGGTTACAGTAAAATCATATAAAACAGTGAAATCGCTCAGGAAATCTGTCCTGTCTTGCCTGCACTCGAGACGGTGACAGATTCTTCACTCCTATTGGTTGTCGCTCGCGAATTTCGCTGTTCATTTGCATGAAGTTAAACAATTCTTAACTTTTGTCGCTTGACTCGCATCGCTTGACACGCCCACATTCTGTCGCCAACGGTCACTGTCGCTCGTGTTGCCGGAAGTCGCCAGCTCTCCATTGAAAATGAATGGGAGCATGTCGCTTTGTCGCTGTGTGTCGCTGGCAGTGTGAACGGGGCTTTCTCAGTGTTTTGTAGCATGAACATTTGGTTTGTGAGACTTCGTGCCGTGTTAAAAACTGTTCAAATGTCATTATTGATTAGTCAGATCTGTGAGTGACATCACTTTACAGTGACATATGCATTTCTGTGGTGGAAAAAAAAACCCATGAAACATGGCAGTCACAGAAATGCACATGACCCAAGTTGTCAAAAACAGGAGAGAAAATTATTACACTTATAAGCTCATGTGCTGTTCAAAAAATTAATTTTTGCTTGGCACATAACTTGAATTGTATGGTTATATTCTTATCCGCAAATGTTGCAAATTCACGGAAGTATTTTCATTTTGCAAAAAGACACATCCTGACCACAAGTGAATCTCTGTGAAACTTCATGTACTGAAGTGCATTAAAGGGTTAGTTCACCCAAAAATGAAAATTCTGTCATTAATTACTCACCCTCATGTCATTCCAAACCCATAAGACCTTCGTTAATCTTCGTAACACAAATTAATATATTTTTGATGAAATCCGAGAGCTTTCTGACCCTGCATAGACAGCAATGCAACGGACACGTTCAAGGCCCAGAAAGGTAGTGAGGACATCGTTTAAATAGTCCATGTGACATCAGTGGTTCAACTGTAATTTTATGAAGCTACGAGAATACGTTTTGTGCGCAAATAAAACTAAAATAATGACTTTATTCAACAATTTCTTCTCTTCCATATCAGTCTTTGACGTTCGTTAACGAGAGTAACTGACGCAGGACACAAATTAAGATATTTTTTTATTTGCACACAAAAAGTATTCTCACAGCTTCATAAAATTACGGTTGAACCACTGATGGACTATTTTAACAATGTCCTTACTACCTTTCTGGGCCTTGAATGTGGTTGTTGCATTGCTGTCTATGCAGGGTCAGAAAGCTCTCGGATTTCATCAAAAATATCTTAATTTGTGTTCCAAACAAAGATGAACGAAGGTCTAACGGTTTTGGAACCACATGAGGGAGAGTAATTAATGACAAAATGTTCGCTTTTTAACTTTCCCTTTAATTATCTGTATTTGTTTGTGCTTTCATGTTTCTTTATAATTTATAATAGATTTTTTAATACTTAATTCTGCCATTTGTGCCTAATTGGAACTGTAGAGAACAGAAATCGACAGAACGCAAAGTAGGACAGAGAGGGGTGCAGGATCAGAAAAAGGATCAGGTCACCCGAAGTGCTTCTTACAAGTCATTTGTGTCTGACAAATTTTTGTCAAAGATTTGTCTCATAAAATTGTATTTAAAAGTATAGATACACAGTTTTTGGTATGTAAAATAAAATGAAACTTTTTGTATAAAATTAAAACTATTAACTTTTAGCATACATTCATGCATGATGTACATTATTTAAAGCTGGATTGGGCATAATATATATTGGGTGTGTGTGTATATGTATATACTGTATGTGGCTTTTTTATGCAAATAATTGATTAATTAAGTAATCATTAGTCGCAGCCCTACTCAGAAATTGTACAATGTACATTTATGATTCATACTGCTACAATACCAGTTAGGGATTTGCAAATGTAATTTTTTCTTTTGTTTTTATTTGGGCTGCAACTTGATTTTCACCGGCGAATGTGGGAACGTATTTGTGCACATCCTTCACATTTCTTAAGTAGTGTCTTGAGTGTTATCTGTTGTTGTCATACTCCCACTTGGGGTACATGAGGGAAAGAGAAACGGAGAGAGAAACAAAAGAATGAAAAATGGGAAGGGAATTAAAGAACTAGAGATATAAGTGTAAAATAGTAGACTACTGCTTTTAGAGTTCCCCAGGCAAAACACACACATGCACACATGAGGTGAACTCTCACCGACCTCTGACATAATTGGCCTATCATTTCTTTGGACTGCCTGGTTCTCCTCTTGAGTTTCAGACCAATCCGCTTTGATTTTCCTCTACGCTGACACGACTGTCAGCCATCCAGTTGCGATACACATTTTGATTTGAAGATGAAAGCTGGGGAAATGCTTTGAAATCCAGGCTCCTACACATGCTTGCTGGACCTAATTCAATATTGACAGTTCACACGTTGCCTCTTCCTCTCAGAGAAAGTGACACTGGGTGTGACTCTGGTCACGGGCGAATAATTGCCCGTGACCAATTGAATAATTGTGGTAGGTGTTAAAACTGGCGAA